TTCTATAGGATTTAAGTCATAGTCATAAGGTGGTAATCTAAGAGGTATGTTACCGGAATTTTTTATGTCCTAGTCTATGAAACAAGTTTTACCATTTGGTTCTTGAAACTTCAACTAGTTTTTTTTGTGCAAGTATCTTCAAAATGCTGGCTAAGGACCTCTTGCACATTTCTTTGTACTCCCGTTTTGTGCAATTTATATATATTTATATACTCGTAAAACGATTCAATTGTAGGACACGTTCATGTGAAACTTTCTTATTGGTTCGTTACTCTCTTCCATCCTGTCGTCGGAATTTTCTTCAATTCAAGATCTAATTATAACAAATAATCGTAAAGCTCAAATGATTTTTAATTTGTAAGCTGCTAAAATAAAACTACCACCCTGTAGCTTCTAAAGTTCCTTCTTTGCTTTCTTCTTACCTTGAGTTACTGTTGGAGATATTGCCGAGCACCGTACTTAATTGACCACCCAGTAGAAAGTCCAGCAATACCGGTTCCAATAAAGGTTAGTTATGATATTGTTAGCGTTGAACGTTTCGTAAGATTTGACAAAATGCATGTGCGAGAATGTGCATGCAGGAATATTCAATTATCCTTAATTCTAATCTTGAAATTAACTTTAGTTATCAAATTGACTATCAAAATTTCATAAACAATAAAACTGAAAAAAAAACATGTACGTACAATCAAATTGTGTGAAATTTAAAGCAAAGCTCATTTTCCTACATTATTTAGGAGCAAATTATTACCGAGTATCTGCAATCCGCATAAAATCGACGAAACCACGCGCAACAGTACATAAAAACCCGCCAGCCAACAAACTGACAGAAACTTCCGAGTGGTAAATCACGGGGCGACTTATTAACTGAATTACGTGTTGCATAGCGAAAATGTCGCAACTAAACTTAATTTAACACGAACCATGTTTCACCGTGCACGAAATAACGTCGACTTAATCTTTTGTGGAAATATATGACGTAAACGATGAGTCAATAGCATTCAAATTTAAAAGCTCTCATTCCTGAAAGTCGCGTAATTTAAATATTTTTGTTTCTTTCTCCATAAAAAAAGAAATCGATAAGAAGTGGGCTGATTCGACCCACATAAGGTAATTAAATTTGTCCACTAAGTGAAAGACATTAAGGAGAATTTTTGCTTTGCTAAAATCAAGCGCTTATCAAAAAACAAAAAAAAAATAAACAGGAACTATAAAATACACCTTCGAAGAATAATAAAAAGGTATATTGTTAAAAAATAAGAGGAGATGTTAAATGCGACAAGAGAGAGCGAGAGAGAGAGAGAGTGAGTGTGTGAGAGGGGGGTGGGTGGGGGGTAGGGGTGTGAGAGGGACAGGGGGAGAGAGAGGGAGAGAGAGAGAGAGAATTCTATGTTACTATGTTCATGTACAAACACAAATAATATTAAATTGGGTCCATTAATAATCAAGATTTTACAAAATTGGTTGTTATACACAAAAACCTAGAAAACAGAATAAATATAGCAAATATCAAACGAAATACGTAAGAGTTATTATAATATTTAGATCCATATATCATCCCCTAATTTTATAACACCGTTATTTTTATCACACAAATATGCACCTGTAAACACGAAAAATAGACGCACATTATAAACTTAGACGCTTTTGCTAGATCTAGCGAGCCTAGTTCACAAGTTACGCGCTTGTTTGAAGGGGGGGACGTTATAGCATAATTTATTTAATTAAATATTGAAATTGCGTTGTATCTAAAAATTCTCTAAGAAGGTACCTGCGTATAGGAATACATATCTCAAACAATGGCGTGAACTACATTGTACATCGTAAAAGTTTAAGGTTTTCAGTTAGCCAGGGAACTGGCGGTCTCTTAACTCCATTTGTTTTAAATGAAGCGTGGATATTAAATAAATAATTCATATTATTCTTTAAAAAATGAACTTGAAACCTAGAAAACAACAAGATCCCAAGGCCTTATCAGCCTACTACTGCATTACTGTATCGATTTAAATTTTAAACTAGCATATTATTGCAACAAGTTTGATGAACGTAACTTTCGTCACAAGTGTGATTTGGCGCGAACGGAGCAGTCGTTAATTTACGAGTGTCTAAAGAAGTTTATCGACATGTTGCATAAAATTACGTGTTTGGTAAGCCATTTCTTTGAATTATATGAAAACGTTTCTGTTGTGTATTTCCACAGCAAACGAAACGTTGCAATATAATTCAATTAGAACCAATAGAACTTCAAACAAGTAGTTTTAACAACTCCTTGCGTCACTCCTTTATCAAGTCGTCAATTAATATTGACTAAATAGGTGTGACGCAGTTAAACAACATATTTGAAATCCGGAAGGTGTACAAAAAGCTTCTATAATAATAATTTATATTATACCGAACATGTACTCTTCAAATAAACTGTGTAAATAAACATAAAACACTACACATAAGACAGATAAAAATACCTCAAACAATTGTGCACTTAGAAAAGCTACTTTTTAGGAGTATTATGATAACAAAATAGTTATAAGTTGCCAAAAAAATTTATGTTTATTTTGGGAGGATATAAATAAAACACAATTTATTTCTAATGGCTGTACTTATAGCTAAATTACGAAAATTGCTGCCAAGAATAAATTTGATGTTGTTTTCAATAATAAAAAAGAGGTTAAACCTAAACGAGCCATATATGTGCCATATAACAATAATAATAATAAATGGTTTAGTCACGTGTTTCTGTCGTTACTGAAAATTTTCATTAATGTATTGCATACAATACTTTCTCTAGGACCATTAGTTTTTGGCTACATTTTTGCAAAACAGCACTAATACATTCACTGAGTGACGTGTCAAGTGACCACACCAGAATTGAAAAATAGCAAAATATCATTTTTCAATGAAACTTTCACTGGCTACTAGAATCCCATTTACAATTCTTCTGGAGTCTTCCTGGGTCGGTTGTTGTTGAATAGTACTTACTGACATTTCGACAATCGAACTTCAGTTTCAGCTAAGTTCTGAAGAAGCCAACAGGATGATTGGCGAAACATCAGCTAGTTCGATTCATCATTGTAATTAGTCCAGACGATTTATAAATAGTGTCAAAATGTCGTAGTTAAAATCTACCGAGAACATCCAATCGCTCGGAAACCTGTGACTAAAGTAAACTTTCCTAATATCTCACGACCATGGGCAACGAAGCTCGCATGCTCGATCGATGCGAAATTTGGAGTTGGTGTGGAGTAGAAAAAAGAACAGACGATAAATACTTCCGTTTCATAATAGGAGCTAACAAACAAAAAAGAGAATGGTCGACTAGTTAAGATTCTTTACAAACAAAAATTGGTCGTTAACCCATCAAACTTCAATGGTGTTTTTTATAGATGTAAGTTTTCCCATAAAGTATAGTTTGGGTTGGTCTTATATGACTTTTTTGTGTTTTAGAATATGATGAGCCCTTCGATTTTGATACGAGACTCTAATTCTAACAAAATTGCATTTTTAAGAAACACATTATCCGTCTATATAAATCAAGTTCTAGAGACCAAATGTCGAATTACTGTCCAATTGCATAAGTCAATAGTGCGGTTAAAGTCCTTGAAAAACGTATTAAAATTAGATTAAAAAACATTTTACAAAAAAAAACATTATTCAACGTCAATCAATTTGGATTTAAGGAAAAAGTAGGCACAGAAGATGCGTTGATCAAGGTAGCGGACAGTGTAGTCAGATCGTTTAATCATAAAAGGATATATTTTTTTTAATTTGGAGATACTGAAAGCCCTACGTATCAGACGGTAGTAAAAGAACTGATTGAATGATACTTACAAAATAGATTGTAAGCGGTCAAGATAGGTAATACCCTTCTAATGAGGTGTCCCGCAGGGCACGATTGTGGGGTCAATCTTGCTTACATTATATGATAATGGAATGTTTTCTATTTTACCAAGGGAAGGTAGTGGTATCGTTAAAAACACTTGGAAATAAGGCTCTGGTGAAGAATTATTAAGTTTGGTAAAAAAGGCTAGCTTATATTCTACTCTACTCTGATTGCTCAAGGTATGACACGAATTGTGAGTGGGATCTATACATAAATTCCACCAATAAGTTAAAATATTTAGAGGTAGTTTTTGCAGTTTTCAGTTATTATATCGCTGTGGAAATTCGCGTTATTCCAAATTGCGTCAAAGTTTGTCAGAGTTCCCTTATTAGAATATATAAATCTTTAGTAGAATCAATTTTATCCTATGCTATATGTATTTGAAATACTGCGACGAAAAAGGCTCTTCAGTCTCTAGCAATTTTAAAAATAATATATTCAGAAACAAACTATATCTTTCGAAGAAGTTATTTTTTATACTCCAATAAACGTTAAAGGGAATCAATGAAGTGCTTGTAGAGGGTTTGTGCTTCAAAAATGTAAAAAGTTTTAGCAGCGATGAAGCGTAAAATGTCTATAATCAGGAGATATCGTCGAAGTTGGATTAGTGGGTTATAGCAGAGGTTACATCGTAGCCGAGTTTAAGTCATATTCAGGATGAGATAAACAATAACAAAATCCTTATAATGTTATTTTTGTTATTTAAGGTCAATTAGATCACTAAAAACTTTTCGGCTTCTTAATAAAATTGTTATATATATTTGGAAAGTCCGAGCTCCCGTCCTGCCAAGTAAACTCCCGACTCAAATGCCGTTTACCACACTTATAGAATATTATACTATTAACCATAAGCGAAAAGTCTAACAATTTTCAGTGGCGTACCATTTTGCCTCTTAATACACAGAATGGAGTTACGGAATTTAAGAATTTACCCAGAATCGTTTCTTAGAAAATATAAAAACGATTTTTTCCTAAACACTTTATTACCCTGTACCTCGAATGTTACGAAATTTAGAAAATACGTTGGTAAAATATTTTTCTAACAATGAATCCAACAATTATCATTTTCAATGAGGACGCGCTATTTAGGAAGACTTGGTATATTGACTGTTTTTTATTTCAGGTGGGCGATGAAATTCTGGCTGTAAATCTCGTGGATGTCACTCACATGAGTCTCGACGACGTAGTGATCATAATGTCGATACCTCGGCGTCTGGTGCTGGCCACCAGACAGCGCAAGGGGGGTAAGGGGGGCCAGAGCTCGCCTTCGGTCCAGCCTAGGGCTGAACATAAGCCTCCCCCCGTTGTCGTCATTAAAAGGGATTTACGGGAAGACGAGACGGACGAAGGGGATGGGTCCGAACAGCACAGGTAAATGCCTAAATAGAAGCCATGAACGCATGCACCTGTTAAATAAATTTAAATTACTAAGGGTCTAAATAATTTTGTAGGATTGCAAAATCATTATTGGTCTTCATATAATTATAAAAGTACTTTAAGTCATACATTTCTTGTTTTGTTAAGAGGTTTGCGTTTCAAATAATTAAAAAATATTTTAGTATTACGAAATAAAATATTTTGACAATTACATAATGCCAACAAATAAGTGTTTCTTATGATTGTGAAATTTATAACCATTTTTTAACGGAAATGTGGTTTTGAAATTTTGAAATGACATACCATTTTCAAAATTAACTGTTTAAAGAAATTAACATTTTATTCATTGTTGTAACTAAGCAACTTATTTTTTAGTATTTAGGTAAATAAAGAGTTTGTGGAAAATTGGTGGAATATGAATAGGATACTAAATCATCTTTTTTTTTTCTGTTATTGGCCTAATGGTTGTGTATAATGGAAGCAAATCAATATTTTCGTAAGTTATTGACCTTCCTCTTTTGAATTGAGCATTTTTTAAAAATCTGAACCAATGTATTTTTATTCAAGACATACCTTCTCCGTCGGTATTTCACTTTCTTTGGTTCTCCTAGTTGTTTCGTCGAAATGAAATCTTTCTGTACCATTCGTTCCAGCAAAAATAGGTTTCTCTTTTTACATAACTCTATTAAATTATAATAATGTGGTTTTGAAACGTTGAAATGACTTTTACCATTTTTCAAAAAATTAACTGCTTGACTTTACTGATGTCTTAAACCATCACAGAAACATTTTTATTCGAAATTAACATTTTGTTCAAACTATTGTAAATAAATAATTTATTTTTTAGTATTTGGGGAAATCGAGTGTACGTACCTTTGCTTTTCTCTAACAGGTCTAACACTTTGAATTAAGAAATTTAATCCATTGTCCTGTTAGTCAAGATACAGCTTCTCCATGGGTATTTCTCTTTCTATTTGTTGTTGATTCTCCCTGTTGTTTCATCGAAATGAAATATTTCTGTTCCATCAAAAATGAATTTCTGTTTTTAGATAATAATAATAATAATACTCAGGGATGTAATATCCCGAGTGTGTTAAGATGCAAGACGCAATTTCCTGTGATCCTCTTGAGGTGATTGTTTCATCCAATTCATACATTTTAACATTTTCATTGTGGAAATTAAGAAAACTGAAAGGTTTGGGTGCTTCTGCTTTTTGTTTATCATCTGTTAAACTTTTTCTAGCTTGTTCGGCCCTCTTAAGATGTGAATCATGAATTTCCATAAGATAAAACTTCTCGTCTTCATTACCGGATGGTTCAAGTTTTAGTTTCAGCGAATCACACTTTCGGCACGTGTCTTTACAAGGAATACGAAAATTTAGATTAAACTCACTCACACACATTTTTTCACATACATGAAGCGGCCTGAAGGGTGATGTGATCTCGAGTAGTGGCTCTCAGATGCTACGAAATTTGTTCTCTTACATTTATTTTTTTAGATGAACCAATCTTTTTGCCACTACCGTCTATTCGAGGTGTTTGCATCGACGGCATTTAAGAGACGGTTTAATCTTCCGTTAGATATTTTGAAAGTATCAAAAATATTTTTTTTTGCAAACAGAAACTTTTGAATTCCGTAAATTTAAATGAAACTTAAAAATACTCATATATCTTTTGAAATTTCTGGGCCGTCTTTGTTTTATTGATTGCTTTCGAAAAAATCCATACAGAAACAAATTCTGTTTTTAGAAATTTTCTAATTTCCCAAAAAAAAATTTTTTGTGTTTTCATATCCATTTTTTGGAATAAAGGCAATTTTAATTTTCAAAAACGTTACAACTCACATGCTCATTTTTCTTATATTTTATCCATAATTACGTTGATTTCTTGTCCTCTTTCTTGAATTTATGTTTCTTTCTTCCATTTGTAAGGGTTTCCATTTCGCTTTTAAAGTATGAACTGATTCGTTTCCATTTCTTGGGACCATACTTATACTTCTTCGCCGTATAATGTCTACAATTAACTGTAAATAATGCAATCTGAAAACATGACAAAAGTATTAATAATTATTTTGCCAAAATTTGACTTATCTTGACTATCAAAATATACTTTAACTTTATTTTGTTTACCAATCAAAAAATTAACTCAATTTATCAAGTTAATTTTAATGGCATACTGTGAATTAGTTCAGATTATGTTATTTTATTAGGTTTTATATGAAATAGCTGATAAACTTTTTTTTAACTTATACCACTTTTAAAATCAAGGGCTCATATATAATTTATATACAATTATAATATATAATTTTTATTCTGATCCGTTTAGTGTTGAAGCTCGAAACCCCACCAGGCGGAGTATAGTGCAATCTATTATTTAAACTTGAAATACATTTTTAAAGCAGTTCAAAAGGCATTCATAAGTTTTGGACCTTCTATGATCGGCTTACGTAAAGATTTTAGACAAATTTTGAATGAAAAAGCAACTGAATTGAATGTTATCAACAGACTCACATAGACATAGTCAGTTCAAGGCGTTTTTGGTTAGTGAAGTATTAGCAGAACATAACGACGCACCATATTATTGTGAAGTCGGATGGTTAAGGAAAGGGAAAATACTGAAACTTTTTTACAGGCTTAGAAATGAAATAGCGGATTTTATGCAAAAAAACGCTTTCTGAATGGAACTACCAAAAATTTATATGTGACTAAGCATTTCTGGGATTTAAATTTTTAGGTTTGGGCATATTTTTTGAAGCTGATAGAATCTCAGACCTATCTATTTTGTGCGATTAAGATATATGCTATGGTTAGAGAACCATTTATTTAGTTTCTCCATAAATAAGTTTCAAATATTTTGTTAATACACATCACCCGTATCTTCATCCAGTGAATCCAGTCTGTTGATATACAAAGTAAATAGAATTGGAGAAATATCAGACCCCTGACCAACTCCTTTCCAAGCTTTAACTGTATTTGAGTTAAAATTTCGTATGTCATTTTGATTGCCGACCTTTTTTGTACTTACACCTTTTTCTTCGTTTTGTTGAGAAGATTTAATTCCAATCTTCCGTCGAATGAATATGTACTGCTGTCATTGTATTTTTACAGGCAGAGCGTCCTTTGTTGAATGCGTATTTAATATTTTCACAGGCGGTACAATTATAAGTCTGTAATTTCCGACACATTTTTTATATTTATCTTTAACGACGAAAGTAGCCGGTCACATTTCCAATAGAACTTTTTTTATAGGAAATCCAGGGAACTCATCAACTCCACTAGATTTATTGTTTTTCAGCTTATTAATTAACAAATTGTATAGTTCTTCCTCTGTATACGGGCATAACGTAAGGGTTGCAGAGTAGGTTTTATTTTTATACAAATTATTTCCTCCCCTCGGTTTATTATTAATTTTTTATGAACTTTCTTTAGGAATGTCCTGACCCCCTTGTTGCTATTTTTTAGGCATATGTTCGAACGCCAGGGTAGCTTATTGGTATCTCTTCTATTCGTAGTTTTTATTAATGACTATCCAGCAGTCGTCTCTCGTGTTTATAACTGACCTTTAACGCTCAGGCCATGCTGCGGAATTTGAATTATATGCTACAGAGTGTTCAATATGATGGATAGATAAATTAAAATTAAAAAATCTCGATTTTCTTAACCAGCACACTATATATTTTCTTACTGTTTCTGCAAGATCTTACAAAAACACACAAATTTTTTAGTTATGCCATATACCTCTTTTTAATACTTTAGGATTTATTTTAACTTTTCCTTCTTTCTGCCTAAGACATAGATAAAGCAACTATTATTAACAATTTTGGTGAATAAAACGACCAAATTTTAATCGGCGCCATATTGTATTTATTATATCTATAAATTCTGAGATCATGGCATTTGAATTAATTTTAAACGGAAAGCCATTTCAGATTTTAAAACGCTTCAATTTGGCATTCAATTCTGCATAACAGATTTATACAAAATGTGTGGAGACTTTGATTCGTGGAGTTACACGCAACATACATGAGAATAATAATCGTTGATTTTGTCAAAATTGATTTAATTGATTTATTTGACCTTCTCTGAATCAGTTTTCTGATTGTAATTAATTGTAGATATAAAGATGAAGATTTTGACATAAAAAAGTCATGGAAAGTAATGAATTACCATTCTAATTTAGAAAATCACGAAAAAATAATAGTTTCAAATATTTCAAAGGAATGGTTATTTTAATGATGCACCATTCAAAAACAAAATGTTCAACTCGATATTTTTTCCGGTTTTTCCAAAATGTGCCGCGGTTATCCTATTTGTTGAAATGTTGTCTAAATAATATTTTCTAAATTTGCTGAAGCAAATAATAAGTGCGTTCTTCTTATTATAAAATGGGGCAACGCTAAGGATCAATCGTCGAATATTACTCGTCAGATTTCAAACTTCTTTTTCTAACCAAATTAAACTTCTATGATCTTTAATTTAGGCGTTCCTCGCCCACCATCCGCGGTATAATCTTAAGCAATTAAACTTTCTCTTTTCGACATTAATATCCTCCCTGCCGCCTTTCTCCACTAATAAGTTGGCCCGAAAGGGCCGAAATGAATATTTGAAAACTTTTCAGAGACGATACCCTTACCTGCCTGCGAAAGGTAAATTCGATAGCAGTTGGAGATTTCGAGTCACACCGTATGTTAAAAGTTTTCGTTTTCTTATTAGTCAGTGTCCGGTATCAGTATAATGTATTTATTATAAATGGACTGACTAATCAGTACCGTGTGTACCGCATAAATTTTTAAATCTATAGTTTTGTCACTATTAATGTAGTTGATAAAGTTCAAATTGTATAATAATTTTAATAACGTTTTTATCAGCTCGTAGACATTATAATAAATCCAAGTGTTCCAGGGTAGTAGGAAATTGAAGCACAAAATATACGAATACATTCTGTTGTATAGCTTAGTGTTGTATACTCCATAAATAATAATAAAATTAGTCGTG